AGATTTTCTAAACTTATGAGTGATTCAGTCCAACTATATTGTAAATGAAGTTGTCATGTACAATGATATTAGATGATCATTGTGCTATATATCATGAAGTGATTGAAGTTGAAAATATGAATCATATTCATGTACACATAGAACATTTATTAGATCTGTCAATTTATTATGGTTATATTTTGTCACTACATAATGTTTGCTAAAAGTGTTTCTATTTCTTCTTAACGGTTTAAAAGAATTCTAATACACTGAGCCAATCATCAGATATAGACTAAATAATTAGTGCATGCTATCGATAAAGATTTAACCTTCATTAAGGAGATTGTGGATTTTAACATTAATTATATGAATCTATTCAATTTATTAGTCATTATATTAACATTGTTGCACAAAACAATTATATAGAGAAATCAGTAAAATAGTATGAATATAAAAGAGTTGACTGAAAAGCACCTAATACTCGGTAAGTTAATTTATCGTGTTTTGACGAATGATAAGAAACTATTAATAACCGAGTCTACTCTCCCTCTCGAAATGCTCTCCCATGGCCACGCGTATATAGCCTCAGCCAGCGAAGTCCTACTCATTGCCTTCTCGCAGTGAAGGCGTTGTTTACGAAATTCAGAGGACGAAAAGCGAATGTCCAGCGCTTTAACCGGGTTGGTGGACATGGAGAGCCCACCTAGGGGAGTTGGAAAAACCTGATTCAAAACCAATGGTGCATATGGGCTCCAGTATGCCAAAGGAACAAATGGCGTATGGACCAATCGTTGGTCACCGGACTCCATCGGACTGCATCTCCCCACGATGCTCCACTGCCTTGTGGATCAGACCTTCAAGTCGAAGGCTCTGGGTGTGGCCCCCTAAGAAAACCACCTGATTCGGTTTGGGCACCCGGGTAGTATCATAGCCCTCACACATATCAAATGAGACTTGTGTGGCGCATATGTATTCGGTTCCTCCTTGTACCAATATCTATGTGTTAAAATAAATAATAAATAAACGGTGCCACTATCCCAAAAAGTCTAACGGAATCTGTGCTCTCAACACTTAAACAGAAACTTGAATATACAAGTTTTGATTAGTTAAAAGCGTTTTCCAGTCACTGAGCCTCAACTTTGTGGTTTAGCCAATTTCATGTTATTTTATTTTCTTAAGATGAAAGGAAGGTATACTTTAGGATTACTATTGTACATTCAAAATAAGCAGCATAAGAAGTTGATCATCCAAGACTATTTATTTATTAACTTTTAACTGATTAGGATTAAATGATCTTGGCTACGCGACGAAACCAGTTGTCTTTTTAGTAGCCCTACAAATGACTCCAGTTAGATCGGACAAATGGTCGTTATCGAATGATTGCTTTTATTGAAATATACATATCGTCAATCCCCGTACATAATTATCGACTTAGATAGAGTTAGTGAATAACGGAATAAAATAAGTCAAATACGAGAATGGATTTTGAATACGTATATTTTGTACACTCATTAATCTGGACAGGTAATCAGAGGGACAAAGAGAAGAGAAATGATGCGCGGTGGAGAAGGTATGTAAGCCAACTCCATTTAATCAAGCGTTAATCTATATTTATAGTCAGATCAAAACAAAGTTACAGATATATGGTGAATAGGGTAGACAATACACACACACAATCATATAAAAACAGTCAGGATTAATAAGCGGATAATTGGCAATGTCAAAATGTGACTCAAGAAGGGTGAATAAATTGGCCTGTCTGGAAGCTAGAATTACCAATTTGGGGTTGACATAGCGACCGACATAACATTATAAATTTATGCAACACAATTTATACTACTATTGAGTAGTGTGAAAGTGTGTCGTAAATTCTGAGTTGATCTAGTGGAACTCATATATATTAGCTTTATAAAAGGTATAATTCTTTAAACATTTTTGTCGTCAACAAACACGAACAAATTGAACTTGCATTACTTTTATACAAACGAAGACCTATCTATTAAGGTAGCTACAAATGGTTTTCTGTTCTTAATAAAAGTTAATATACATGAAGTTCTTGAGTTGTTCCTTTGTACTATTTAAACTTGGATTAATTTTGATTCGGTTATTTATTCTCTGAAGAAGTAGCCTACACTGAATTACGAAACGTCAGGAAATCAAAATTTCTACTTATTGGTAAATTACAAATATATTATTTGATTTATAAAGTTTATTATTTGAAATACATTTTTCACGATTTGTTTTATTTAAGATTACTGTATATTACTGTATATTTTATATTAATTTCTGAATGTTATGAACATACGAAATCAATCAGTAATATTTGAGTTGAAATAAAGTTTGAACTGCTCCCAAATGCCCCGGTACAGTCAAGGATGGGGAGAGTCATCCTTCCCTCTCCAAATGGTCTCACATGGCCACGTGCATACAACCACTGCCAGAGAAGTTCTACTCACTGCCTTTCTCGCATAGAGGGCGTTGTTTACAAAATCAAGTGGACAATAAGCGAATGTCCGGCGCTTTAACCAGGTTTCTGGGCACGGAGGGTCCACCTAAGGGAGTTCGAAAACCTGATTACAAACAAGATGTTATACATAGGCCCAGGATCCTGCGGGAACAAATGGCGTACGAACAAATGACTGCTTACCGATTGCATCTTGTGACGTTGATCCACTGCCTTGTGGATCAGACCTTTAGGTCAAAGGCTCTGATTGTGGCCCCTAACAAAACCACTTGCTTCGGTCTGGGCACCCGGACAGTATCACAGCCCACACACAAATCAAGTGAATTGTGAGGTGCATATGTATTCAGTGCCCCACTGTACCAATATTTATGTGTTCAAATAAATAATTAGCGCGCAGATAAAAGGTTGCTACACAAATTATAGCATAGAGAATGGGGATCCTAGAACTTTCCAGTAGAAATATAAGAGCCTTTTTTTCTTGTTTCCCAACTATTGATTTCATTTTCCGTAAATCACTGAAATACTTGACTGCATCTCTATTCACTGAATCTTAATCTATAACTTTGTATGATAAATTCCGAACAAATAAGATTTGTTGAATTCTTCTATGAATAAATAAGTCAATGAAGTGATAATTCAACTCTTTCTTGATATATTCTACCAAAAATTGTAACAGTATGCTTAGACAACTTATCAATAAGTTCCACCCATCAGTGATAATCTCACTGATAATTGCCTTTATAATAACTATAATCACTTTATTCATTGTAAACAGTTGTTAACCATTACCTCAAACTGATGTCTACTACAGCCATTTTTTTATCTATTCCTATTCATCATAACTATTACTGATTGGACTGATTCCGAGATGGTGAAGACTTGAAGTTCAGGTGGATGATTTTGATGGAGTTTTCATTGTTCTTCTGAACAATATCACCAGACAAAAACTTCAGGTAAAAGTAAAGTGTTCGAATTTCTCCATTCATATGGTTCATATCTTGGTCCTATAGACCTCGATGTTGATTGGTTCATTGTTTATTAATTGTTTACCAATGGAAGATACAACCAAAATAAAGAAGTAAACAATGACAGATTGAAAGTCAACAAAAACTAATCAACATTAAGGTTTACAGAATAAACTATGAATCATATATATGGAGAAATCCGAACATTTCACTTCTATCTGAAGTTTATGCGAATAATATCGTTTCATAAGCTTCATGAACCAAATCATCCAACTTAGAGAATAAAAGTTTATTAAAATGAATTGATTTTGTAACCAATCAGAAAAATAAATATCAGTCAGTCAGCTACAATGTAGGACCAGGCACATTTATAGTCAGTCAGTCAGTCAGTCAGTAACAACGTAGAACTTCGTACTTACGTACATCAGTTCGAGTTGCCACACCACATTATCACAGAGATGCAGTGGTCGATTCAAATCCTGTAGTGGTAGAGGTAATAAGAGTATAAGCAGTAATCGGGAAGATTAGTGTTTGCAGATGTTACTTAGAGTATAATACAGTAAAATAAATTTGGGAAGAGAAAAACAAAGAGACAAGGAGGAATAAAGCGATTAAAATTTGGCAGAACACAAAGAGTGTATGCACCTGCGCCATTGCAAACGATTTTGAGCCATGTTATTCAGGGTCTCCAACCATCGGTTGCTATCATGTCGTACATTTATATGCATCAGTCCAAGTTGCCATGACAAAAATGAATATCAATCTTTAAACAAGAATATTCATAATTCAACCCAATAAAAATGATTCAAACATGAACACAACCAATAACATCACTCAATCAATCATGACAACAGTACATAACAACAAATGAAAGAAGAAAAAAAATTGATCCCTTTAAATGATACTTTTTTTATTATTTTCAACTGTATACTTTTGTTTGTTTTACACAAAAACTATTTGAATTCGTTATTCATGAATTATGAAATAAACAAAAGAACCTTAATAATCATCAATATAAATCAAACATTAAAACAAAACAAAAATTAAAACAAAACAAAACAAAATGAATGACTTATTTATTATTACATAATGATAAATATAAATACAATTGGTGGTGGTGTTGTTGTTGTTGCTGTGGATGTTGTCGTCATTGTTGTTGAGTGACAAAAGAGAAAAAAAATTATTTTTTAAAGATAAAAACAACTCAAATGTTAAATTGTTTTGTTTATTTGTTTATTTAGTTTTCTTTGTACAAGGATAGAAAAATCTTCATTATGATTACTAACAATAGTTAGTAGTAGTAGTAGTAAATGAATAATAAATACAAAATGTGTTTTTTTTGTTTTTGGTGAGATAGAAATCATAAATTTAATTGAATATCAACTAAATTCCATTTAAAAACTATGCCTATTTCGATGTAATTTGCGGGGGGGGGAGAGGAAGAGAGAGAAAGAGAGAGATGAGAAGAAAAGGGAACAATACATATGGAGAATGAATAGAATGGAATAAGTATTATCAAACCAACAAAAAAAAGAAAAGATAATACTTTTTATATAAGGAGATCAGTTATTTCTATTGATAGAAACAATGAATTATATTAAATTAGTATCTGAAGTCGATGCAACTGTATGCGGTGGTTGAAGTTCTGGCAATGGTCCATCTAACCACTAGAAATTTTTTATTAAGAAGAAAAAAATACAAATACAAATTAAGATTAAATGAATAAATTGTAAAATATGTATAAAATACGAAAACACATATATTGTATAAGCAAAGATGGATAGTGGCTAGCAGTGAAATCCAGGACGTGCGTTTCGTCCTATCCAGGACTCATCAGTTGAATGTACCTACATCTCAGAGTCGATGTTCACTGGGAAGATACAAATAAACAATACCAAGTGAGATATACTATAGTTTCAGTTCATTGATTTAGACAAGTTATTTATTTATTTATTTGAACACATAGATATTGGTACAAGAGGGCACCAAATACATATGCGCCAAACTATATATATATATGTGTGTGTGGGCTGTGATACTGCCCGAGTGCCCGAACCGAAGTAGGTGGTTTCCTTAGGGGGCCACACCCCGAGCCTTCCACCTAAAGGTCTGATCCACAAGGCAGTGGAGCATCGTGAGGAGATGCAGTCCCATGGTAGCCGGTGACCAACGATTGGTTCATACACCATTTGTTCCCTCAGGATACTGGAACCCATGTGCACCATTGGTTTGGGATCCGGTTAAAGCGCCGGACATTCGCTGTTCGTCCTCTCATTATTGTAAACAACACCCCCGCCACGAGAAGGCAGTGAGTAGGACTTCTCTGGCAGAGGCTGTATACGCGTGTCCGTGTGAGAGCATTTCGAGAGGGAGAGCGGGCCCACCCCACTGTCGGACATACCAGGGGATTTGGGGGCTGAGTTTTGTGGATATTATAGTAATTTCAATGGGTAAGATCATGAGTCAGTTGAAACTAGACCAACATAAGAAACCTGGAAGCACCGGACGGCCGTTTCGTCCTATTGTGGGACTCCTCAGCAGTGCAAAAAAAATAAAGAATAAATTTAATGATAACGAACTGCTCAAAGAAACTCCTGTAACTAGTGTACTTCCGATAACTGATATAAATGAAGTAAAATCACTGTAATATTTCCAATACTTTAAATATGTATGCTCAGAAATAATGATCATAATGATACCCTGGGTCAATCGGGTATAACCCAAGTGATAAGTGAGAGATGCTCACGGTTGCACACTATTAGTCAAGATTTGGATTCACTGTCTACAAAGTTGATTAACATAGAATCATATGAATAAGTCCCTCTATCAGACTCATTTTAATTTCACTATATAAGGACCCCTTACTAACCTTGACAAATTCATTATTATAAACTATTCTTTCTTATAACCTACATTCTGATTAACTGAAAACGAACAAAATTATTTCGAGGTTATTTCACGAGTCATTCAACTTTGTCTGCCCTAGTTTATATTTAGTTAAACAAGTAAACAAAATAAAAACAATTTACCTCAATAAGTGAATGTTCTGGGGCGGAAATAGCACGCATATGTTCATGTATTACAATTTTTGAAAAACGATCATGTTCAGTAAACCAACGAGTTTCTTCTTGTGTATCACCACGTAGATTAGCAACACCTTTAAGTAAAGCAGTTGCCCATAATTGAATTCCTATATCGGGTAAACGATTAGCTATGTGAATAGCTGCACTAATCATTTTATGACCTTCCTAAAATTAAATGAGTAAAAAGTTCATAAAAGTAAATTATTAGCAGCATATGAGGATAGTGAATAATGTCCCATTTATATTTAACATGACAGATTTGATAATAGCATTAATTGTGACATGTAGAGTTTATCAATCTGACATGTGAGATAGATACATCATCAAGGGTAGTGGATGATAATTACCTAATACCGAGAACAGGCTGAACTTAAAAAGGTAAACCATTGGATACCAACTCAATAATTTAAAAATAGCATACATCGTCTAAATATACAGTTATTGATTCCCAATATGATCACGAGTGAGGAGTGCTGTTATGATATACTATGATATGATATACTATAGAAACAGTCATTATTATTATTTTATTGATTGAGATCATGAACCGATTGATGTTAGACCACCATGGAAAACCTGGAAGCACATGAGAAGTGGTGACCAGTAGAGTCCAATTAGGTCCGTTGGGAGATAGTAACTCACTTACGACAATGGCGGACAGCGGCGCAATTTCATGGATTGATTGAGGTCAAACATTAACACTATTGGATGCCGGCTTTGTGCTCTGAAGCTTAAGCGTTCGCGCGCGAGATTGATAGGTCGTGGGTTCGAACCTCGTGGGGTGGGATCGTGGATGCACACGGCTGAAGAGTTCCACAATAGGACGAAACGGACATCCAGTGCTTCAAGGTTTTCCATGGTGGTCTAGCTTCAATGGACTCATGATTTCAACTATTGAAATTACTAAAATCTCCATAAAACCCCTTCTGATAATAAATTGCTATAATTTACATAATATTATGTCACTGTGAATTTATTACTTCACAAATCTATACTTACAGCTGTATTTTGTTCATTTAAATGAATTTGACCCATGGTAATAAAAGCTGAAGCTGATAAACGATGCAATTCTTCTTCATTCCCTAATCGTACAGTTTCACGTAAAAATAATTTTGCATCTGTTAGTCGATTTTCATAAAATGCTTGAAATGCTCGTACATAATCTGCAGCAGCACGAAGACAACAACAACCTTCAAGCACATGGATACCACATGAAAATACTTCATTTAACAATGCCTATAAGTATAAAAAAAAAAGTAATTAATGAGAAATCAAACCAGTTGATAAGATTATTTATAAATGACTGACGAATCTTTTCACTGATAATAACCATTATATATATGAATGATGAGAGTAAATCATATAACCAGTAGTTCGTGGAATAACTGTGAAGTTTGTTTATTGAACTTGGAAATATAATGCAGGTATTGTATGTTTAACTTTAGAATTGAATATACAGAGAATGTTCCAAGTACAATCCCGGCCAATCTTGGACAGATCAGATACATTTCAATACATTCATGCAATTCAGGGGGAACTGCCAGCCAATTCAACGATCAACATTTGATTTTTAATGTAACATCCCATGGATTCGCCTGTGACAATCGGTACATTATTAAAAATGTTCAAATGTTCAAATCCTGTGTTCAATGACTATGTTTTACGCAATATATGCAAAGTATCGAATTTCATGAGTGATTAGAACTAAGGGTGAAGGTATGTAACTTTTTTTTTTGAAGAAAAAGAATGAACTGAAACATTTTAGTATCATTAGCTACAAAAGACAGTCCTGTGAAGCTTACAAATCCTTATCAATAAATCTAATATATGAGAAATCCAATGAATTCCGTTTATATTATATCTAAAACTGATTTCGAATCTCATCAGAAATATTACTATTTGGTTAGATTGGCAATTAAATACACTGAGCAAATATATCGATGATTATTTCTAATTAATCACTTGGTAAAGATTATGTTCTGACTTTGATATCCACTGAAGCAAACAAAAAAAAGATGCATAAGATGAAATCTTACAAATATCACAATAATCCTTCATTATTATGAGCTGTTAGCACTTACATTGAGGTTTGCAGAATCTAGTCTTACCTCTAACATATGACAATTAGAAGTTAAGAACTAGTATGAAATGTTTTCCACCTGGATCAATGTATCCTTAGGCGAAATAAAGCTTAATAGATCACATAATATCGCAAGGACACATAGTAATTGAGAAATGCATGTATGGTCAGAATGACTGTGGCATTTTTGCTAATTAATAATTCCATTATACATTATTCCATGGATAATTTGAATTGAAAAATACAATACATTCGGGTATCCTCAATGATCTCAGATTTGAATAGTGGTGTTCGTGACTACTACAGTACGAACTGAACAGTTCTGGGAAATACTAAGAAATTTATACATCTGGCTACAGTTTCCATCCACAGATCTCTATAAGGATTGGTTCATACTTATCACTTAATAATCATAATATCAATAATCGCATTATTCAATACTAAAAACTCAGTACAATATGGAATTTCTAGCAAAAAATATACACATACTCATCTAGATTTTGTCCACAAAACTTTCTACCTACTCTTTGTTAAAACTTAGGATAATACACTAATTAAAATAATAATCATGAAAGATGTATATAAATAGTCAGTTTAAATATATAAGTAGTGAACAATAGATAGAAAGGAATAGGAATTCGAGTCAACACGTTGAGTCATTGAGTAATACTCTTATCTCTTCCATAGGTTGATGAAAATCAGCTTACAGATATCATACTAAAGACACATGTCGTACAAACTACTTCAAATCAATACATTTTTCGTGGCATTGTAATCCTTTGATGATATAGTCAGTTAGTTATTAAAAAAAAATCTAAAACCTAACAAATAGGTCTATTGGTTCAATATGTGCTACACCACACAACAGCATAATGAAAGAAAAAATTAACACGGGGAGTAGATAATAATAAATTTCAGCCTGACAACTAAACATAAGAACGAATGATATAAAGGAATGTTAATTTGAGATATAACACTTAATTCAGTATTTAAAGAATGTTAAAGAATAAATAAAATTATGTCATTGATGTTGATCTTGTCTCCAACCGCAAACTAGAATTAAGGTTTAGACTTGAACTTCTCATAAACGAATACAACCCTAAATGAATAATAACTTCATAATTTGTTTAGTTGGTACTACTGTAGTGAACAGAACATCAGTGGGGATAATCAAACGTGTTCAACACAAAATTACAGGACTTGTTCATAAAATCTAACAATCATATAGTGAATGCTTAATTTGTAAAATGTCCATCAATTGTCTCATAATGACTCAGACTTCATTGTTCTTGCATTTTCATACAAATTGCATCCTGTTTCCATTCTTTACTGTTCGATCCTCTTGTCTCTCCGATGCCAGACCTTCCGTTCACGACTAACATCATATACTACTTATGTTAATATAAGTAGCACACACCACACTAATAGCCATAATTTAATCCACTTTTATATTCATTAACAAATACTAGACATACATGAATCAATCTACGTTAACAATCGTATCAATTGATTTATCGGGGTAAATTTAGTCTACATAGAAATAAGCGTTAAACTATTGAAATACTGATTATTTATTAATGTATTTTATTAAATTTTTCTACATCATAACAAGTGAGATGACAAAGTATCGGATGTATTTGTTTGTTTGTTTTCTTTTTCAGAATTTATATACAAATGTTGACTTTGCAAATGAATTTATTTATTTAAATATGTAAGCATTGGTACAAAGAGGTCTGGGATACTGCCTGGGTGCCCAGAGCAGGCGGTTTTCGTAGGAGACCACACTCCAAACCTTCGACCCTAACCGTCTGATCCACAAGGCAGTGAGACAGCGTAAGGAAATGCGGTCCCATGGTAGCCAGTGACCAACAACAGGTTTATACGCCATTTGTTCCTTCAGAATCCTGGAGCTGATGTACACCATTGGCTTTGAATCAGGTTTTTCCAACTCCCCTAAATGGACCCTTCGTGCCCAGCAATCCGGTTAAAGCACCGGACAGTCGCTTTTTATTCTCTCAATTTCGTAAACAACATCCGTGGAGCGAGAAGGCAGTAAGTAGGACTTCCCTGGCAGTGGTTATATGCATATGGCCATGTGAGAGCATTTCGAGAGGGAGAGCTGACTCTCCCCATTCCCGGTCGTACTACGGTCAGACTGATTAACAAGTGTAAAATAAATAAATCTAATCATGAAATATGTATTTCTTATAAAAATGTAGTGGATAACAACTTTATATTTTCTGTACATGTACAATTAAACATTTTTTTGTATTTTAACTCATTTCAATCAATTTAATACAGATAAGATTCAAACCTATAACTTAAAGGATTTAATTATAATTTTTATTGAAATGACGCTGGGAAACGGAGATAGACATGAGAAAAATAAACAAGAATTGGATGGAACTAGAAAAGAAGGCCCAGGACAGAGTGGGTTGGAGAATGCTGGTCGGCGGCCTATACTCCATTAGGGAGTAACAGGCGTAAGTAAGTAAAAATTATTGAAATGAATTAATAAACTGAAAAAGATAATTCATATACACTTACTTCACATTCAACCGTATTACCTTTCCGAATATGTACTAAAGCTAAATTAAGACAAATTAATACTGACAAAGAATCACGTGGTCCATCTGGTTGGCATGATGCCCTGGTAGAATTTGTTAAACTTAAAAGATTTTATCATTTGAATTAGTTGTTCGACATCCAGTAACTTGTTGAGGTCCAGCAATAAGCTAAATATCATGAAAAGAAAAGTTAAAATTACTATCACTTAGAAAATTAGAAATTTTAAAGAAAACTGTGAAATAATAGTAATGATAGTCACGCAGACCCCAACCAAGTAGTCTACATCTACCAACATGCCTCAGACTAGACGTTAGTGACTTTTTGGACTGATGCCACTTTTTGGTTTTGCCAGCCCCAACTTTCTTCCAGCCACCCCTAAAACACTAGGCAGCATTGTGCGTCGTGGTAATCAGTCTTCAGGCATACGCAACACGTGGCCCAACCATCTCAGTCGATGAAGATTTACAACCTCATCAACTGATTTACCATCATTCTCTAACACCCTACGTCTAACCTCACTATTAATTACCCGGAGATCCCAGCAGATGCGAACAATATTTCTAAGGCATCTGTGGTCAAATACTAGTAGCTTACGAATAGTTACACAGCCTTCAAAACAAGACATAAAATAGTAAATATATAAAATGCCTTGTCAATAATACAATTCTTTCTAGTAAAAAGTGTAATTTTGACCTCGCACTCCCACCAACACAACGAAACTACTCACTTAGTGATAGCAATAACTTCTAATTCGGTAACTATTAAACCAACATTCCTATTACAATGGAACCTCAATTAATAACTTTTTCAGTAAATATATTCTAATCAGATGATTGAGATGGTGGTTTACCAAACTTATAGAAATCAGATAACATTGAGAAATTTGACTATCACTTGAGAATTTATTTGGATAAATTTGATAGTGAATACTCACAATTGATTGATCACTGGGTAGCGATCAATGTCATGCGTGTCTAGTCCTTATTAGTGCAGATCGAATACTATCGATAATGTTGCAATGCGGCCACCAGTCGAGGTGATTCGACACTGCGGGCACTATATGTTGGGATTAGATGGTGGTTGGATAGCTCAGTGGTAACGTCTCTGACTATGAAGCTGGGTGAAACGAGATTGAATCCGCCAGGGAGAACCAGTTCCCTCAAGATTACAGGTACACCTTGCTGACGAGTGCCAAGTAGCACGAAACCCGGGTCCAGGGTTTCATGTCGACTACCTCCAACCACCATCTAATCCCGATAGTGAATACTATCTATCCAGGACATTTACTGTTTGAAATATATACTGTATAACTGGAAAAAAAAGTTTTTCATTATTGCATATACTCTAGCAATTCTTACTTGATCTATTACATTTTAACATGAATTCAGTTGATACAAATGAAGCAGAAAAAAAAGAACTTGGAAATTTCAATGATATTCATTATATTCCAGATAGTTATGACAATAACAAAAAATTGATCTGAATGTATGACATATCATGTGATGGATAAAGTAGTTACGATAATACTTAGAATGAATTAGTGATTTGGAGGATACATCATTGATTGATTTGAACTTGAAAAAAATATTGAAAACTATCAAACACTACATAGTTGTGTTTATTGTATTGTTTTAAGCTCATGGAATTGTAAAAACAACCAAGTTAGTGTATGTCATAGTAATTTCAATTCATGAATAATCTAAGACTTAATAACCTCGATCACAAGTAAATAAAAAATATATATCTCTTTTTTTCAATTCCGACAAATCAGATAAACAATGGTATATACGAGTTAAGTTCATTGCTATTTAAAGTGTTATGGATATCAATGCATTTAAACATGGAAACCCTAAACTTTAACCATTGAACCATTTTACTACTCGTAAGTAGCTTAATAAAAAAAAGATAAATTTCATTAGTGAAGTGAGATGTTAGAGGTGATAAGAAAAGTGTAATGTATTTGTGCTACATATTTAGAACAATCTAGTCATACACATGCTCATCAAGGTAAAAGTTCAATATCAATATGTTCAAAAACATCTATTACTGTCTGCAGATATTTTTAAAGAGATATAGGTCTATATGATACCTGATTTTAGTAAAATTTACACTTAAAGATATAGAAATTAGATCGTGGTCAGCTTTAGACAAGAGAATGTTCACAGTTAACTGTTCTGTTAGACGTTATAACATAAGGAATTAGTTTGTAGTTTATTACCACGAGTTAATCCCTTTTGAGTAACACAGTCTGGTAGTCAACATCGCGTGGAGTAATCACTATGAATTCACTGTTCTCAATGTTGAACATAAAACAAATCAAACAAATTCTAGTGCTTGAGAAAATAACTATAGGAGACATAAATGAAATACGAAAAACAACTAATCTCTCATTAATATAAAAACACATATATAGGTATGTCACTATATCTCAGATTGTTTAAAGTTGAAATTGTATTATTGAATATTGACTCAGTGGTTCTAATGGTTGGGTGCACTTCAGACTCATAATTTCTGGGTTCGACACATGCTCCTGCAGAATCCCAGGTGGGAACAGAACAGCTGTCTAGCACTCTATAATTTTTAGTAGTACCCCAACTGAGACCAAACTATGACGAATGTAGGGGACAAATATTTAATAAATAAAAGAGTCCAATCCAACTTACTCTTAAAGCATACTTAAACTGATTTTCCGCTTGATTCATACAATTCATTGACATAGCATACAAGCCAATTAAAGTATGCAACTGTGGGAGGCGTTTATACATTAGTGCAGGATTCGCTTGACATATTCGATATGCTTGACCAATATCTTGTGCAGCTGCTGTTTGTACACCCATTACTAAACGACCCATAGCCGTATGTTCTAGTAAACTTAAATGGAATACAGTAAGTAATGGACTAGTATCGAATACAGATAGTTTTTCAATTTGTATTAATGCTTTTTCAGCTGATCGTTTAGCTCTATCCAACATTCCAGCTTGCATTGATTGCATCACCGTAACAAGGTAAACTAGTATAACCATATGTTCACGGGGCATCCAATGAAATCGTTCAATTTCATTTGTTGATGTAGTATCAGCTGTTAAATTGAAATAAAATAATCAACAAACAAACAAAAGGAATTAAATAATTTGTCTCCTATTTAATAAACATGAATTTTGGTACAACTGCAAAATAAAAAAGCTGTGAGGTATACAAATAAAAGGGAAACATTATGAAGAAATAAAAAAAGAACAATAGCATATAACAAGAAATGGAACCAGGAATAATTCTTTCAGTTAAAAAAGCTCCCAGCACTTTATGGAACATGTAAAACAAAACTACACAGGATAGGCACCGGCTTCTATTCTGAGTCATGTATGATAACATCCCAAGATACTAAGTTGCACTAAGTCTAGGATCCCAACCAGTCTTGCCGAACTACTTGACCTTCAGGTGCAAAGTAAATCTTGTACCTACAGATAATAAATACTAACTGATCAAGTACGACTTGAATATTTTGCGTATCATTGCACGGTAGGACAGTGTTATCTGTGGCTTCAAGTTTCAAGGGTCCTTCTCTAGGTAACAGATTCACGCCATCATGTACTTCCTCCAGAGCTGTTTCTATGATGTCATTGATGAAAATGGTGAAGGTGAATATTGATATTGGCAAAATTTACTTAACCCTACTGCTGAACTGGAACAATTAAGAGATAGTTGCATGCCCTTAATCTACCTGAGGTGTTTACGAACTGAATCTCCAAGATGCTACTAAATTCCTTAGGCGCACTCTTGTTCAATAGATAACGTCGGAGTATAGTTCTGTCAAACGAATCAAGCGCCACATAATAGTATTACCACAATTTTACTGATGACAATCATCCGTTCGGTGAACAATCTTCTCTTATCCACTTTGCGCTAAATAACTGTTATATTTTTATTGCGATGATAATATGTCAAGGTTAGCAGACAAGAAATATGCTGAACTGATCAATAATTAATACACCTCAACATATAATAAATATGCAACCAAGTTTAGAATTACAGTGTGGTATTCTGAAACAACTTTGTATTAACATAATGAATTATGAATAAATAACTCAAATGATAATTTTAAAATGCGTGCCAAGAGGGTGTAGGACGTATGCTAGTACATTTGTCCAGTATTTCCAGGTTTTCAATGGTGATCTAGCTTAGACTGACTCGTAAATTCAACCGCTAAAATAATACAACCTCCACAAACCCCCATACTGATAGTACATTTGTGTTAAGAAAATTAAGATGAAGAGATATTCTTTTTGAAGATGATATCAAAGTAGAATTTGACTGGTAAAATAAATACTTAGACGAGCAAATACAACTTCAATAATGAAGAACAAATTGGTATCCTACGCTAAATCTAAACAAACCGGGAACAGATTTTACAAGTCAACAGTCGAAAGTTAAACAGTTGAATTATCGAGTAATAACTTCATTAATTTCATATGTGAATATTTTTTTAATAAACACAGAGATGGAATAGGAAAGACATGTTCATCACATTCAGCTTCAGGCCACACTATTTGTGAGTATTAGTGATACTACCCAGCTTTCTAAAGCGAAATACGTGCAGTATTTTTGGAACCTGCTTTTATTTATTTATTTGAACACATAAATATTGATACAAGTGGGCACCAGATATATATGCGCCACACTTTGAACCTGAGGCCTGTAGGTTAAAACCTGGGATAAGGAGTGGCTGGTCAAGTGTGACATATATCCCAGCTATTTTCCTAGATTACAGTTCATGATCTAGTCAATCTGCATGTTATTTTTGCCTGAAATCTTGCGTCAAACATCAGGATCAATCGCTCACCGGTTTATTAACTGACAACAATAATTTGAAGACAAGTGACATAAGTTCGCCCAAATATTTGTCAGCTTGAGCTATAAGATTTACTAAAGAGAAGCTATGAAACCTTGATAACAGACTAGACAGGGAACAGGAACATGCATCGAAGAGGAGGAGAATTTGATAGTATGTACACTAAGTAGTAGTATTACAATCATCAAACAAACTATAGTAGGAAATATCACAAAATAACGGCAATTAATACTTATGCTCATTCTGTGTTAAATTCACCGTTAATACCCCTAGTCTGATGATTAAAGCTTTTGGTTTTCCAATTAGCAGGTAATAGATTTTAAATCTACTCACTATCCCTCATATACAATGTAAGGAGGAGCTAAGTATGTAAATCAATACTTGGTAAATAAGACTTGTAGTCAAAGCTTCTATGGTATTTTCAGTTAAACAAGTGATTTTAACTGAAGACACAAATTACCTTCATCCATAGCAGCAAATTGTTGAATACTTTGATGTAGTTGTCGTAATATTGGATGGGCAGATTTTGCTTGACCAGAAATAAGATAAAATGAAACATGTAGAACAAGGTAAAATACACGTAAAGCCTCACGATGATACATATTTCCTTTGAATTGTTCAATTAATCGACTAACATTGGTTAATGTGACTGTAACTTCCGGAAGTTGTCTACTTGCCAAAAGTAACTGTAAGTACATAAAAATCAACAAGAAAATTTTCATAAAAGAACTGGTTATATTATCATAAATAAGTATTCTGTTACTTGACGTTCTACATAATCCTACTGGTTTCTAATATTTCTCTACAGCAAACTACATATCTAACAAAATGATGGAGAATTTTTTAAGAAACGACACTGGTAGTACTTTGTTCTACTGGAAATCAGTGAAACATCTTTCCTTTCAGAAAATATTTATTTGGCTATGTTTATTTTGTTTCATTGCTAATCTCTAAGTAATAAGGGGTATGTCTAATCACAGAATTCTTTGCGTTCAGTAGCTTGAACAAATCCTAACGATAAACACTGTTAAATATTATATAACTACTATTATAAACCCATCCCCCCCCACACACCGACAAAAATTAAAGAAACAGGGAAATAATAAACAACTGACCATGCATTTACTTAATAGAAATAAACCGTTTGTATAATCGGAATTATGTAAACGTGCATATTCTGAGCCCATTGCCAATATTTCACAAGCTGAATTCACATCTCGTTCAGCAATATGAGCTTGCTATAAAAATAATAGTAATAATAACACTAGTAATAAATAAACAATATAATCTAGTGAATTGTTAAATTAAAAGAAATATATGTCTAATATTTATAAATGTTAAATAAGATCTTTGATAACTGATCGATCTCAACTTTGATTTATATATGAAATTTCATAGTTGTAGTTAAGTTATCATTTGAAGTCAAATCGGTTGAGCATTTACTTAATCACCACAGTTAAACAATTATAATTAACATGGGACCTAGCATAAATGTGAGTTGATAGCAGTTGCCATACTACAATATTGCAACGACATGAAATTAAATAGATGAGTAGAAAACGAGACAAAATAATCTTGGGAGTAATGACAAAATGAGAAAAGCTAAACATTGAGAATATGATTCGAAAAAAAAAGAGAATGAAATAGGATACATGAAGAACGACTGAAACTTAATATCTGGGCGAAGATAAACAGTGAACGTAACTGAGTCCTTTTGGACGATTCTGAGTCATGTTCACTCAAAGTCTCAAGTTACTGATCCCGGTTATTGTGAGGACTACAATCAAACAATATGTGCCTATCAACATAGCTTAGGCCAACAGTCAATAATTTCATTGATTGCTACAGCATATTCACTTAGTCGCTCCTAACTTTCTTCAAACTTGCTCGTAAACCAATCAACAATGAACGTCGAGGTAGGTGGTGGTTACGCATACGTATCAGGTGTTCCGGATACTTGGGTCAAGAAAAATTCACCTTATTGATTAGACCAATAGAATTTTAATTAACAGTTAGTAAAGTTGAAATCCAATTAACTTAATTCAGTTTATGAATCTGGGTAATATCATTAGTCCTCGTATACAAACGGTGTGGTACAAAGCTGAATACATAAACCTGTACTTGATAGATGATTTAATCTATTCACTTATTATCATCCCGATATTTATAATTTATATCCATTGGACGAGTAAATTAATCTAATTGGGGAGGAGACGCAGATGGATTCATGCATAGTCTAAAGAAATATTTTACGGAAACTTCACATTAACAGTTAACACTTACTGCCAGTTCCAATAAGATTCGACAATGCCAATATGGACTGTTATTTGATAATCTGATGGCATCGTTTAGAATACAAGTTGCTTCATATCGTTTACCCTAAAATTGTGAAACAAGAGAAGTCATGTGAAAATAAAGCTTTCGTAATAAACATTCAGCCCTCAAATGCTCTCACATAACCACGCGTATACAGCCACTGCCAGGGAAGTCCTACTCATTGCCTTTTCGCGCCACCGGTGTTGTTTATGAAATTCAGGGGACAAAAAAGCGAATTTCCGGCGCTTTAACCGGGTTTCTGGGCACGGAGGGTACATCTAGGGGAGTTGGAAAACCCTGATTCCAAACCAATGGTCACATGGGCTCCAGAATCCTAAGAGAACAAATAGCGCACAAGCAAATTATTGCTTGCCGACCGCATCTTGTGACGTTGGTCCACTGCCTTGTGAATTAGGTCGAAGGCTCCGTATGTGGCCCTTTAAGAAAACTACCTGATTGGTCTGGGCACCCAGACAGTATCACATCCCACACACAAATCAAGTGATTTGTGTGGCGCATATGGATTCGGTGCCTCTTTGTACCCAATCAAATAAATAAATATAAAGATTTAATTTCAAAACTTTTACTTCCAGAAATGGGATTTGGAGTGTGAAATGTGGGATTATCCAAGTCAACAATCAGCAAAATTATCTCATCTATGAATCAAAAAATTATCTAAATCTGATGTTTCGTAAACTATAGATTTTGTTCCTATGGATAAAAATTAACATAGCAGTGTAAAGATCTCAATGTTCTTGGTTCAATATAGACGTGTTTGAGAATATAAAGCAGACTATTTGCTGATACTTGTGTGACATTTTGACTGACATTAGATTATGAAAATTAGGTAAATATTGTTTTCAAACAAAACAGTAGTCAGATAAAAATATTTCTTTTGACATCATAGAACTGCACAAAAAATTATGGTATAATTTATATAAGCAAATGAATTAGGAGTTTTTAATAGTAAAAATGAAAGAAACACTTACTTTTCTTTCAAAGAACTCAGCTAACAATGTAGCGGCTTCAAATTTGATGGAATCATCACTAGCTTTTAGATGTGCTCCCAAAGTACGAGCCTTTTCCAAGTGAAATTTTGTCTGTTCATCGCTTTTGCTATAATGAAACAGTAGCCGTCCCAGTTGTAAATGTGTGCGAGCTTCTAGATTGACAGAAAGTTTGAACTGAAGAATAGCTTTGAGACAATGAACGGCAAGTCGCATATTAGGAGGACTCATTGTCCTGAAAGTTTCAGCCAATCCCAAAAGAGCAGCATAACAATCAGACACAAGAGGTCCATCTGCTGGTAGTTCTGAGCTTATATGACTTGCTTGAATGGGTTGAGAAATAGGTTGTGAATAACATGCTAGTGGTTGTGATGATGGTACTGTGGAAGCCAGAACATCAGCACTGTAAACAGTCTGTGTAGGGGTCATTGTCTTTTGATGAGTTATTGGATTGATAGGAGACCATAATTGTGGTTGAGATGCTTGAGATAATGATGAAGTTGCAATATTTGTTCCTTGCATTGAAATCCTCGATGAAGTAATTATCAGCTAATAGTATTTCGACTGTTTTGTTAACCTAATCACAAGAAATAGTTTATGAGTAATATTGTGGATATAGTCTGAGAATTGTCACAATAAGTGCCCAAACCAAACAGAAGTGACTATTTGGAAACTTCTTAAAAGCGAGGATCTATATCGAAGGCGTATATTAGTAGAATTTCTTGAGATTATGCACGGACAAATCCTGTTGCGCCATCCCTACAACAACATTCTGCACGCACGAAATTACTAGGAAGCTCTGATATTTATTTCCATCCATTTAAAATCTAATTGTATGAAAATTTGATTTGTCGAACTTCTATAGCTCTAATCATTTAAGGAGAATGTGAGGAAGTGAGTAGAAAATTGTATGTTATGCTTGTTATTATGTAAGCTAAGAATGACAACCAACTACTGAAATAGAAGTAAGCCAATTTATATCTGAACTTGAAACTTAATGATCGTAGGTTATGTACCCGTACGCTAATAAGTAACAATTATCCCTCTGACCATTTTCAAACTGTAGAACTTCAATTCCGTATCTTGGGTAGATTTTTTAGACAAAAAACCTGCAATAAGCGGGTTAACATATTCAGGTAGTGGTACTGATGGGGCGGTAGCTTAGTAGTTTAAGAACCCGACTTTTAACCATAAAGTCACAGGTCTGAACCTCGGTAAACTATATTGATCTGAGTAGACGAGCAGTATCAATAGCCCTCTCAAAATCAGGTACATAGGTCCTGTACCACATAAATGAATTGTATTACTAATATATCACTGATCTTTATACACATGTAGCTGATAATCTAAACCAGATTATGTTTCCAGTAGGCCTTTTAGAAACTAGGATCAGTTCAGATAATTGAACTATGATGCTAAAATCGATAAACAAAGGCCCGCTTCATCATACACTAGGGAAACCGAGATGTAGATGTATACTACTAATTCTCATAACAAAACTAAACATCCCAGCATTTGAAGTTTTTCCAAAATAAAAATGAAGGTTTGACAGCTTCCGATTAAGCTTATTTGTCGTACCAGCCGAATTGTGGTCAGGAATAAGTAGATGAACTGTAAATACATATCAAAAAGTTTTTACGAAAGAATTTGATCGAAAAAGACCAAAAGACTACTGGAAATAACAATATGGAGGTCTAAGGTTTTCCACCCTAAGACATTATAGTTATGTAGCGATGTCTTAATTACTTTAAATACTAAGATTTTAACAGGAAGACGACTGGTTTAAACCATATTCAACTAACCTAGGTCGTAGAGTCAGTTATTATCACTTGCTCATAAACAACAGAAGTGATTCATAGCCTAATAAACAGAATTCTGCGGTTCCTGGGTCGACTTATTACTAGTATATAACCTCAAGGACTGACCTCTGAATCCATAAATACCCGCAACGTGAAGCTTAAAGACTAGACATGCGAAGCAGAAAAGATTAAATGACACTTGAGTAGTGCCTTTTGAAAACACAATACCAACTGATAGCTCAGTATTCTGTAATTTTGACATGCGAAACTTGCCGTACAACTTTACAAATAGCTCAGATGCTAGAGGATACAACAATTAGATAACGGTAGTATGTTAAGAATGCATGAAGAAAGGGGGTAAAACAGTGGAGGCTACTATACAAATAACCTAGGGGGATAATTCACACGTCCAAAAGTGAAAGGGTCTGACTGCTACTAGAATATGGATTATCATAAACTTTTGTTAGTCTAAACTGTTGATTCTTCTTTGTAGCCGAGTTAATTTTTAGGTTTTGTTTGCGTTCTAACGTATAAAACTTTCTTTTACACTTATTCAAGTTAAACTTTTAGTTACAGCAACATAGAAGTTATAGCTTTTTGTTTTATGTCTATCACTTTTAAAGCTCTCGAAACACCGTTATTCTAGAAATCTTTTCGTTTTCATCGTCCTTTGTTTCGTTTTCCGCGGTCAACTAGACTCTTTTCACCGTTCTGTCCGTGCGTTTGCTTAATAATTTTAATGACGCAGATAAAATATCTTTGTGTAGAACCACATGTTTCTTTCCAATCAACAATGAAATGTAACGTGACAACTTCAACAAAAGGTATCTCAAAGTGTGTACCGGACTCATATCAGCAGCATACAGGAGTTGTTACAAGCTACTATCATATTGGCTGTTCAAGGCATGCTGCTCTACAGTCCCTGTTGATTCTGGGGACGATTGTGCTGTTAAACACAGTTAGAAAGCTTCCCTCGGATAAACAGCCTACAGCAGATGAGCAGCTGTCAGATCTCGAGGAAGCAGTGAGAGTCGCCATAGATCCAGCTTTAGATCTGAATGAAACCATCAAGATGGACACACAAAATGTAAAAGATGACAAACACATGTAGCAGAGGTTACAAGGAAAAAGAAAAATCACACTGAGAAGAAACAAATTACAGAGAGCACTAAAACATGAGTGGACGGTTTCAGCTACAGAACCCCACATCAACGCAAAACAAACTATGCAGGAGAAAAGCCTGAACATTCTAGATTTGACTAAGAAACTAAATAAGGTCAACGATTGGTTCACAGTAGAACGTAGAAAACTAAGGAGGAAGAGTGATAGCTGCACATCTGTACGCCTGACGCCAAATCGGATTGAGGGGATGAGAAAAGTTGAGGAAAACACCTCGAAGCTTGTCGACACAGGTCTTGCAGAGAAGTCAGTCATTTCCCATAATTTAAGAGAGTCTTCCGAAAACGAACCAAATACTAGGTTTCAACACGACCTGATGCATATTAAGTCCTTAACCAGCAAACTACTCCCGGAAACAGTAGCAGGAGTTATTATTCATAAGCTCTATAAGATAGGACAAAATTGGATTCCGAAGGTACTTAGGCAAGCCTTCTCTTAAAAGTTACTTTTGCTTCCACTGAGGAAAGAAACCTAATGGTGGAAAATTCACGCAAACTGGCTGAATCCGGAATATACGTCCGTGCAGAGATCAGTTTGATTGATTCTATCAAGAAACGATCGGTAGAAGGAGATATTGATGAGCGCCGTTGGGATGATGAAGAAAGCCTTATACTCAAGGGTTTTCTCAATGTAAAAGCTCGGAACAAAACGGCCTCTCAAACCACACGATGGTATGGGAAAGCATTTCATAGAATCAAAGATATGCTATACAAACTCTCGCAGCCTACCAAATAAAACGGAGGAGTTTAAAAACGTGGTGGACAGAGAAATCCTTGATTTCATTGACATATCCGAAACGTGGTTAACGTCGTGTGTGATAGTGAAATTCAATTGCTTGGTCTCCTACTTTGTAGGGCTGATAGACTAAACAGTAGTGTTAGTGGGAGAATCCGTATACACGTGCACTTCGGGTAGACTTAGAAGTCCTCGTTAACTGGTTTAAAACATGACTAATGCCTGTTAACTCGACTAAGTGCGTCTACGTGTACACTGAGGAAGCAAAAGCAAAACTGTACAGCATTGGGGAAGATTCATTACTCGTAGTTCGATCTCTCAATGATCTTGTGAGCCATGATCTTAAGACCACGGCCCACTACCGTGAGATTGCAGCCGAGCGGTTTAGATCACTATAAGCTTTAAGACAAACATTCACCAACTTAGACACTACTGTTTTCACTAAAGTATACTCAATCTTAGTGAGAACTAATCTTGAACACTTCGTTCAGTCTGCAAACCCTTGTTTAAAAGGTGAATCGGTTATCTGAGAAAACATACAAAGGGTAGTCACCCGTGCAATTCTAGAACTCCGATGCTTACCATGCAAAGAGTGGCTTGAGAACTTAGACCGCTTTACTATGTCGTACCGTAGATTGAGGTGGTTTGGTTTTGGTGTATAGAATACTAAGAAGTGCTTTTGGACCTGACATATCCACTTTTTCCTCCTACCACATCAAGATAACTCAGAGGACGTAGAAGGCGAGTACTAATAGAATGACGTATATGGGCTGAATTTAGAATCAATCTTCAAACCCTTTTTCTGGAGTAAGAAAATATAATCATTCGGTAAGTTGACCATATGGAGGAAACTTATTATCGCTTCTACAGATCATTCAATTTAACTAGACACTTAAACCCATGTTAAAAGAATATAACGCAGAAACTATAAACAAACAAAATTTATCATGTACAAGCTATCCCGAAATCTAATAACTAGTGTAACCAAACGTCCGTATCATTTGTGTATCATGTGTGAAACATGGCAACTCCATATATATTATACATTTCCAGTAATGATATTCGGAGCATATTTTAATCCAGGCTTCAATAAGGCCTTCACCGAGAAACTGTTTCTTTAGAAAGGGCTAAAACCTTATCAACAATAAGCAGGTTAGTCAACACATATGTATGGGTTGAATTAAAAAATATTGTGCTGTTGTTGGTGAGATAGTCTATGTGTTTACGAAGACACTTACACTTTTCGACAGAAACACTTTGGCGATATACGTAAAAACCAGTTTCATAGAAGTGAGAATCAATTAAGCAGAGCCATATCCGCACAATACAGATTACTTTATGCGTTACTCACCAACTTTGAAAGGGTGGTCTTAAGGTTCAAGCTACAATATTTACCGATTAAAAAGGCCCACAGAAAGTTCCCAAGGTCTTTAAAACATGATATGTGATGTCCGACCTTATCAAATGAATCTATTTATACATGCACGATTGCAAGAAAACTGATGAAATCTACTAGGATTCTGGGACTTATGTTTGTCAACGAGACATGAATCATTTAAGTGCAAATAAAGAATATATGTAAAAACACCATAGCTAGATGACGTACCCTTTACCAAAGACAGTTTTGATATGATAGCCGTACTTCCACGAAACGACTTTTTCGTATATTGTATATGGTATTGTTTCTCCTTGAGTTAATTAACTGTTTTGATCGTAAATTATGCATCAAAACTACAGTTTACACTTTAATTGGATCTACTCCAGTTAAAGTGATATTGTATTGAGTGTTTCGATTTTGCTTTTGTGTAT